GTCTGACCCGCCGCCCGGCCCTGGGCGGGACAAGTCATTTGATGATTTTCCCTCACAAAAAAAAACAGCATTGGTTAAAACTATGTAAACAGCAACTACCAAAATCTGTCTCAAACCAGAATAAAATCCAAGATCATTTATCATATGCTTGTTATACAACATTTAAGCAAGTTTAATAGAAAACTCTTACTAACTCATAAAAGAGGGAATTTCAAAATTGATCCTTAACATTGAAACATAATTTATAAGATTGAAATACACTCTTTTTGGAGTTAGGCCTCTTTTCTATTAAGCATACCATTTGTGTCGGTGACATACGCGATAAGGGGCGTGATGGTAGCAGTACGTCATAAAATGTCGGTTGTCTTGTACCTCATAAAGCTGATATCTTCAACCCTTCTACAGGAAGGCAGGGTAATCAGTACCATATAGTGACAGATTGTGTCCTTGAGAAGAGATTTTATGAAATATTTTTGTATATTTTTTACTTTTTAGGTCTCTAAAACGACTTCGTTTTTGTTTTTTTTTTTGACAATATAACCAAGATTATGTGTTCTCTAATTGGATAGTTTCCTAGGTGAAAAATAAATAAATTCAATTCAATTCGTGTGGGGGAGCCATGGGTCGGCTCGACCGGAGTAATACCACGGCCTCACAGAAAACCGGCGTGAAACAACCACAGCGTTGTGTTTCGCCGTGTGAGTGAGGTTACCGGAGGCCCAATCCTTCCCCTACCCCAATCCCTCGTCAATCCCTAATCCCTAAAAGGTCGTCAACGCAGTCGTTACTCCTTCGTTGCGCGTGTCCATGGGCGGAGCTGATTGCTTATCATCAGGTAATTCGTGTGCTAGTTTGGCGACCTATTACATAAAAAAAATTCAACGTTTCAATATTATGACGTCATAACTTGGAGTTTCATACAAATTTCATAGATAAGGATAAATTTGACTAGTTGGAAACCACGTGGAAACTAATGTGTGTAATTAATATAATGTACCTAATGGTGGTCTAAAGGTTAAGACTTCCGCTTCTCATGCATGAGGGGAAACGCATTGAGCAAGCGTGGTGATTATGAACCTTCTCCGTATGAGAAGAGCCCTTTGCCCCATTTTTTTTCAAAAAGATTGACGATGGAGTTTCTTTCTCGTTCTCCTCCTTTTTATAATTTGGGAGGAGCACATAGTAGCACGATGACTTGTTTATGGTTTAGTCGTAAAAAATTTCTTTGACTTTTAAACACTATAATATAATATAATATATGAAACAAAGTCGCTTTCTCTGTCCCTATATCTCTATATAAGCTTAAATCTTTAAAACTCGGCAACGGATTTTGCTGCTGTTTTTTTAATAGATAGAGTGATTGAAGAGGAAGTTTTATATGTATAATAACATTTATGAAATAGTGGAGAAATTAAGTTTCAGCATTGCTTCCTTGCGAAACTGGATCTGGCCGCTAGTAGTAAATAAAATAAAACGCAATATCTATGATCATATTTATTACTACTCAATCATTTTCTGTGCACATTGATAAATAAACGTTTGGTATCATATCGTGAAAACGGACTTTTATGAAGAAACTACAGAATCAATCAAAAGATAAAATATCAAAAAACGGTGAAAAATAACTAAAAATTCTTACTATATAGGTAAATAATATGATTTTTTTTCTGAAATCATAAAATGTATTTTTTTGTGTTTATAATATATTAAATAAACAATATTAATTGCTAAGATTTCAGCTGTTTAGTATTGTTCAGTCATAAAAGATCCGCTTCCACTTAACATTAAATTAAAACACAAACAATCACGTCAATCATAAACAATTTGATTAAAAACAAACATAGCATAAAAATTACGGAAAACCATTCTTTTTTTTAAAATTAAAACAACAGTTTTCGACATTCATATTTTAAATTTGATTAATGATTTAAAATCGATTTGTAGCTCTATTTTACAATGAAATACAATGCGATATTTTTTTAATTTTAATAAATTGTTGTGTATTTAGAAAAAAGAAACATAGTAAGCTATTTTTATTTATCTATTATTTAAATACCTACCTTTTTATTATATAATTCGTTAAAATAAAAACATAATTTTACAATGAATCGGTAGTTTTTTAACGATCGGTAGCAAAGAGCACAATTTAAAGTATGAAATAATATAAAAAAAAATATTGTATCTGAACAACGCCATTTTGCAGAGAAGTGAATTTTCTAACTAGGTATCTATATATCACAAAACACAGACGAGATATTTAAGCGATAAAACATTATAAATATTTACATTAATTTATAATAATACTCCATTATTATTTTTTATTAATTTACTTAAGATTTAAGCTTAGGTACGTTAAGTATTTTCAACTTAATTTTAAATATTATTTGACACTCATTTTAAATATGAATTTTACACAATTTATTTTTTAAATATTTGAAAATGACGTTTCGGTAAAAATGTTTTCTCCATAACTTCAAAATTCGAATTTTATTTTTTTTGACAAGTGATTCCCTCATATGTCTGCCATTTTCAAATATTTCGTTTCGGAACTTATTATAATTATTATTATTCGTTACATTTTGAACTGCACGTGGACGTCGCTTTTATCGTTCGTTTTTAATTTCTAGTTAAACTGACTCACTTCGTAGACAATTCAGTGATTATTTCTATAATATTTATTAATTTGCCAATTAAAAACTAAAAAAAAAATTAAGTCCTGACATGAATTTCACGCAGTGTAGGTATATAGTTTGAATTGCCATACGAGTGGTCTTATATCTCTTTATATATCTATAAATACATTAATTAATTTATTTAAATTTATTTTCCTACAATTTAGCATTAATAATTTAAATTTTCCACTAAATATCATTTAGAATTCGCGATTCACGAGCTATAATTACAATCATTCCCAAAGCAATTTATTTGGAACTTTTTATTGTTATTTAATAATAACTATTTCTTAATAATAATATAATAATAGTATGTTTTTTTAAATACAATTTATAATTTTTTATTTTTCTATTGGTAAAATATGTGCCTTAAAATCGTTTTTATTGTGTGCCCGACATATTTTTTTAAAGTTTTAATACTGTATTTTGATGAAAGAATCTTAATATTGTGCATGTGCTTAATCAGTTTCTCTATTATTCGATATTGTGATATATTAACTATAATTCATTAGTAATATAATATAAAATATTATTTATAAATCGGTTTTATTTCAAATTACATACAGTCAAAAAGGCGATTTAAATTAAAAAAAAATATTCCATTTGTGTCCATAAAGGCTTGATTCCAAAATGAGTGGTTATTTCTCATTCAATTTTATTTTTTCGCCATTTTGTTTTCTGACGTCCTCTCGCCTGATTAATGTTGACATTTCGCGCCTTTTTTGGTAATTTATTTGACAGTTCTAGATACTTATGAGTTGAATTCAAGCACAGACAGATGGAACAAATATGTCATTATGATAAGTGCTTGTGTTTATTTGTTTTTATGTACACAAAATGTAATTTATCGTAAAACCGATGTCCAAAGTTTTTAAAACGTATCATAGATTCTGAAATATATTTTTATTAATATATTATCGTCTGCTAAAATTTGGCTTACAGCTAAATATATTGATATATTTCTCTATATACAATACTCCCCTACAAGGCATAGGATATTAAATACACAGTGGTCCGTTAATTAATATCTAAAAGCCCTACGTTATGGGGTTTCAAAGTCGCAATTCTTGATCAAAAAAATACTCTAAATACTTTTTCTTACGGTGCTTTTTCAACTGACGTTGTTTTTTTATTATTTAAAGTTTTTAAACTATTTTTTGATCAATGTAATAGGCCTACAAAGAAAAATATTGCAGGGTGTGGTTTTTTTTTTAGTAAAATTCTTAAGCCTTACGTCATTTCGAATTCTGTTTTTAAAATTGCCAAGTTTTTAAAATGCTGCCAATCCTGTTTGACTTATTTCTACAGTTTAAATAAGTACTTATTTATTTCAATTGAAAGTGCCGCTGGTAGTAAGTCGTCGAAATATACAGGTATACATTATCATATTCTTTTATTAAAATCTTTACAACTGAGAATCTGTAATTTTGACATTTTTAATGAGAATGTTCAGAAATATACACCAACACCACTCTTATTAATTTTCATCCAGAATTTCTGTATAGCACAATATTGTCTTAAATTAAATAATCATTCCAAATCTAACAAAACAATTCACATAACATAACATAGCTATAATAATAAAACACGGCACAACAATATTTTGTTCAAACAATCGCACACCGGAATTCATATTCTATTTTTAAATATTAATCAATTGTTTTGCTGTATAGTCCTAGCTGTCAAATTTTGGCGGCATAACCTACCATCCGCCATTTTGAAAACATAGAAAAAAAATTAAAAGTCATAGAGTAAAGAAAAATTCCTTCATAACGATTGTTAAAGTAGGTTTTATTACACACCATACAGCATACCAAGGAAAATTAAAATAATCACATCCATATATCCTTGTTCAGTGAGCGAATTTACTTCAATGAGTGTCGAAATATTTTGTTTTCGAGCAAGAACTGCTGATGTTACTTTACGAGAGAAGTAGAAGTAATTTAAGACATTGTATTAATGCTTTAAAATAAACAATATTACTTTGCCCAATTTTGTAATTAATACAGAAACCTCGTAGGCAGAAATTTATATTATTTGCTTTTTACGAATGCAGTTTTTTTTAAGTTGTTTTAACTTAAAGAAAATATTCGACACTTATTTGAGTATTCCGCTTTCTCTTTCATTTTTGTAACACCCTTACTGTTTCACGATTCATTATATAATAATATTATATAATAGTTACAAATATCATAAATATCTCACAAAGCAGGTACAAATTAAAGAGTTTACATTTTAAAACTAATTTATTAAAATTAATTCGATTTATTGATTGTGACTAGAATAGTCTAGGTTTATCATTTGACTAGATATTATATGTATATATAATTATGCTAGGTTGATATTGACACCCACACCCGTCACGAACTCGTCCCTTATAAGTGGTAGAAGGGCTGTGTGCCTGTAACAAAAGAAAATATAATTTATCAATTATGTGTTAAGGTCCAATTTTGCAGAAAATTCATATGTTTCAGGATTATTCTGTCGATTGCCTAAATCAAATAACGTTATATTGGTGTTATAATATTTTTTGATTCTTGAAGAATAAACGTTTGATAGAGCATACAAAAGTTCGAATGTATTAGTAATGAATTTCTTAAGACATATTTTTTTTGGTCCAGACGCTAAAATAGGTACTTGCTTCAGGCTGAAAAGTAATCTGACTTTTTTCTAAATTGACTGACTGAAACCTGGACTGGTTTGCAAATCCGCCTTGAGCAAGCGTGGTAGCGTTCAAACCTTATCCGTGTGCATAGAGGACTTTGCTCAACTTTGACTGAGCACTTTTAGGTTGATAATGATGAATGAAAAACCCAACAGTGTTTGAATATTTTTACAAATTAAAATATGTATAGTTTTTAACTGTTTGTTACATTTATTTAGAGGTATAGGAAGTAGGTCTTGCGGCTACTGTGACGAAGATTACAAAATGCGATTGTTTTTTTCAAGACAATTAAGTTTAGTTCCCTCATTAAGCCGTATTTAGTGCTTAGTCAAATCAATCCTGCCATTTATTAATAAACTTAGATACAAAGACTTCCTAATAATTCAATGTTTAATCAAGTTTACGATAGATAGATATTATTACCTACAAAATACACATGGTTGAACCTATAATTGAAACTATCGTAGCAGAAACATTTATGAACCTAACGCTATTTCAACACGATTGCGTTCTATACCATATAAAAGATAGCTTGATCTCTGCGACATTCGTCAAACTGACATTCCTAGGGTTGTCATGATACAAAAACATATCGATAGTAATTTTCGACGTTTCTTACTTATCGATGCTAAAATTATATGTATAATTGGAATATAATTTGGGTACTAAAATGAAACGAATATTTTAATCTAAGATAAATTTATTCCAAAGGAGTACACCCCAAATCTATATCCAAATCACTTTCAGAATTTCCCGAAACCCAAAGTTGTCGAAAGGAATTTTACATGAGTAGGTTAGTATTTAAATTTTATTTACGCATTATTGTAAATAATTTTATTATTTTAAAATATACAATAAACTGAACAGATAAATTAACTTTGAATTAAGAAAAAATATCGATAGTTCATAGTCTGTGGTCACGATGATTCATCACTCATCACTAATTAGGTCAGCATGCCCATAAAGTATGACATTGACAGATACGTTTCTCCGTACTGTTAAATTCAGAACTTCATAGGCACTATTTTACTGACAGCTGTCCCAGAGATCAAGCTATCTTTTTTTAAGTGTAGAGATCCGTATAAACTTGTCCTTTTGAAGACCAAGCAAAAGATTTCACAATATATCATCGAACTACAAGGGTCCACTGCTGAGCAAAGGCCTCTTTTTTTCTCACGTAGGTAGAATGTTTGAGCTTTCATCACCACTCTTGCTCAAGCCGGATTGGCGATTTCTATCACTAGAAATTATAAGTTTAGGTTTCCTTAAGATGTTTTCCTTTATATGGGAGTGGTGTCTACATAATCTAAGTTACATAATAATATAAATCAGAAACCAGACACTGGTGTATGAGAAGCGAGCGCCTCAAGTAGGTGCTTAAGATACCAAAACATTTAAAGTCAAAGTCAAATTCAAAATCAAAGCCAAAGTCAAAGTCAAAGCCAAAGTCAAGACATAATTAGTTTGGAACTCGAGAGAGTAGTTTTTATACCAAAAATCTGCAGGAAGTCACAATCCCACGAGAACGGAGTCGCGGTATTATATAATTTTTATAGTGTTGTGTTAGTTTTTGTTAGGAGCACAATTTTGAATTACCGATTTTTTCTTTGTTTTTGTCAGAATAATATTAAGGTTCTTAAGAAAGATGTTTAAAAAAGTAAAGGAGTATTGAGAAATAGCGATTCTTTTGTAGCTAGCGAGATGTCTGGACCCCCGACCAGGCGTAGAATTTATATTGTATTTTGTTCTACATAGAGGTAGTTTAAAACCGACCTTACTAACATGTTTATAAAACAACGTACAAGACACGTGGGAGCGCGCCACGTGTAAACATTAAAGGCAATACTTCTCAAGTAAGTACTAACATTCTCGCCTTGATTTCCTACAAGTTTCCTTGAGACAGAGGTTCTCAACTTTTGGGTATAAGGAGCCCAAAAATTGTGTTTGTTATTTACGATAATTTTCTACCAACAGCTTGGCCCGTAGTAGGTACCAGTACTAGTCAGGTCAGTCTAGTACTAGTCAGTCAGGTACAAGTCTCAACTGGAGTGATACCAAGGCTTCCTAGAATGCTGGCGTGAACTAACGGTTGCGTTGTGTTGCATCGTGTGAGTGGGGTTAGTGGAGGCCTAATCCTTTCCCCCTCTCCATATTCAAAGCTCAATCCCTGATTTTCAAATCCTTAGCATATTTAAAAACTTCTTTGGTGTTTTAAGTGTGCACTGTGCATGGGCGGTGCTGATTGCTTTCCATCAGATAAACCGTCTGATCGTTGGCCATCATAAGGAAATTTCTTTCAAATAAGACATTTCAACAGTTTGAGATTATTATATAGTTCTTTCTGATCACATTTTTTTATGTGGTAGATCAGCAAACGTGCAGACGAATTACCTGATGGTAAGCAATCAGCGCCGCCTGTGGACATCCGCAACAACAGAGGAGTAACGTGTGCGTTGTTGACCTTTTGGGGGTTAGGGATTTGGGAGATTTAGGGATTGGGGAAGGATTTGGGAAGGGGAAGGATTGGGCCTACGGTAACCTCACTCACACGGCGAAACACAACACTGTGGTTGTGTCACGCCGCTTTTCTATGAGGCTGTGGTATCACTCCGGTTGAGCCGACCCATTTGTGCCGAAGCATGACTCTCCCACACTTAAACTCACATTCTTCAGGATGACTTCAACATTTTTTCGTAACATAATTTTCATCTGGTTCCTAGTATACATTATTTTGTAGAGTATTGTGTATATTATTTTGTAGGTTCAGAAAAACTATTTGCCTACCAAACTATACTTTTAATAACAGCTGGATACGTTCATCATAAGTAACTTGGTAGGCCAGTAAATAAATATAAACTTGTATTCAAGGGTTCGCGTGTTCAAAAGATTGGGCACCACTGATTCATATTAATGTCGTAGGATTCCTAGAAGCCTTCAATAGGCAACCTTGGTTCGGACTTATAATATAAATATGTTATGTACATAACAGACGGGGTAGGAAATTATGATTAAGTATATATTGAGGGTTTGAGTTGGATTTTTAGAAAATGTTGTGAAGACTACTAACTGAAGTATAGTTTTTGTTTTCAATAGGCTTAGATTTCTAGATCAAGCAAATGGTTTTTGGGGATTATAGATTTTTATTGTAGCTGTTTCATTCAAATGTCTATATCGATATTTAAAGTATTATTATTTACATACCTATATGTGTTATGATATTTTAAAAGGGTAAATAAGTTGGATTGCAAAGGTTAGAATAAACGCCATTTTTTATTTTTATATTTCAGTACATTCTTTTCATTTTTCATTTTTACATTCTTTTCATTATAGCTCAGAAACCCACCTGAAAAGCTTAAAGATTATAGTTTTATTTTAGTGTAAGTAAAACAAGTCTGTTGCGATTTTGAATGAGGAATCTCTTTGACGTGAATTACTGTCTTGAATCCCGAGAAAAACCAGAAGATTTTATTTGAGGAGGAGAAAAACGAAATAGTTTCCACTACCTTCCGTGAGAAGAATGCAGTGCAGCCTATAAGGAACCGCCATTTACACAATATGTCTAACGCAATTTTTCAAAATCCCTCATCAAGTATTTGTCTCAACAAACAGACCAAAAAACTTTTTATAAACGTATTAGTATGGAAAACAATAAATATGTAAAACGCTACCTTGTTTGTAATTTTACTTGATCAGGACTCAAAGCGGGAGTATGTCACGTCCTCTAATGTCGATTATGTTCGTTGAGCCGCCAGTCGCGTTGTGAAGCACGTATGTGGAGTTTGTTGACAATTCCGATATGCTAGGGTTGTCACATTGAAGTAAGTTGTGAGTTGACTAAAGAAGTCTCAATGTTGTCCCAAATTCTTTAGACTTATTTAGTCAGAGCATCTTTAATCGTAACTAGAAGCTTGGCCCTGCTTTGAATGGGTGTTAAACTACCTCGATGTCAATATTTTTGTTTTGTTAGTGAGCCGCTGGCTGTGGATACAAAATTGTTTATATTTTCCATTTTTTTCTACTCGATTAAATCAAAAGGCCAAATCAATCAAGCGTTCACAGATTCATTTTTATACAATTTATAAATAGATACATAGATTTTGCGGAGGAGATAATATTATGAGCTGATAAACAAAAAACTATACCTATATATATATATATATATATATATATATATATAAGTACTCTAAGTTGTAGCTTGTAAACCGATTACAGACGTAATTTCGTATTTAATAATCTGCCTTGTAAGTTTTGGAACTTTAAGACCAAGCAAGTAAGTTTCTCCCACCAATACTTTCTAAAATATCCATTATGTTTTTTCTTCTTAGTGACAACCCTAGCAAGCGTGTGCATATGATGGTAAACGAAACAAGTTTACCAAATACACCGGTATCAACTCCCTATTGTACTTGGTAATTTTGGTTTGCCGGTGTTTGGGGAAAGCCGAGTACCGTCTGCTGGACTTAGGAGCTTCCAAATGAGTACACAGTCTTGGTTTACCGGATGATTGGTTATGTATTCGATGAAGGAGTAGATAATATTGGTAAAAAACCTTTTTGTTAGTGTAAGTCTCATTGATCTAAATGCAAAAACATCAGCCTATTAGAACCGGCGTGAAAATGTTACGTTGTATTTTGGCGTATAACGTCACTGGAGGGTTAAGTAAACTGAAGGGTTGAGCTTCTGGAAGTCTTACCCCATCCCCAATTACCTTATCTCACGAGTTTTAAGTGTGGGAGAGCCATGCTTCGGCACAAAAGGGTCGGCTCGACCGGAGTGATACCACGGCCTCACAGAAAACCGGCGAGGAACAACCACAGCGTTCTGTTTCGTGTGAGTGAGTTTACCGGAGGCCCAATCCTTCCCCACCCCCAATCCTTCCTCAATCCCTAAATCTCCAAATCCCTAATCCCTAAAAGGTCGGCAACGCACTCGAACCTCCTCCGTTGCGGGAGTCCATGGGTGGCGCTTATTACTTACCATCAGGTAATCCGTCTGCTCGTATGCCGATCTATTACATAAAAAAAACAAGTTCAATGCTTATCACCAGATGATCTGACTGCGTCGCTCTTACTGCCGAATCACATAAGAAGCACCCTAGAGACGTCCTATTCACCTGTCAAGCGTGTGAACTAAAGAACTAAGGGAATTCTCATCTCAAGGTCGTCTTCCAGCAGTGAACGTCCACTGCTGGAAGACGATCTTGAGATGAGAAGTCCTGTTGATAACGTATCTATACTAATTTTATAAACCTGTAGAGTTTGTTTGTTTGTATGCGCTAATCTTCGACACTACTGGTTCGAATGGAACAATTCATTTTATGTTTGTTACTCCATTTATCGAGAAAGGCTATATGCTATAAAACATTATGTTACGATCTATAGGAGCGGTTGAAACCGCGCTAGAGTAGCTAGTTCGTATATGTTTGTCGAGAAAAATACCTGGAAAAAGGTACCAACGAAAAAGTAATGCTGTAAGATATTTTCACAATACAAAGCTGCGATGTGTCTTCATTTCGGCAGTACTTTACTTTGAAATTACTGAAGTCGGATTCGGTTGGCATTCGACTGTCTTTTCGACATTACTCAAGTGATTTACTGCCTTAAAATATACTCGTAGTATGTAGTATTTTGTTTTTTTTTTAAAAAAACGTTGCCCTAGGATTTTCTCCTGTGTCGTGGGTGGGGTTACAAACATACAATTTCACATACACATGACACCACCCAGACCCGGAACAACAATTTGTGGATCACACAAAGAGTTGTTCCGTGCGGGAATTGAACCCGCGACACGTGGCACGGCAGCCACCACGCCAACCGTGCAGTCAATATTGACATGACTACTATTATCTCTTGAAGATGTAAAGGATTAATCATTAGTGGAATATATTAATTCATTGTTTGATTAGGGTTTTTAAATGGGATAGGTTTGCAAACAAACAGGTGGATTACCTGATGGTAAGTAATCGGCGCAGCCCATGGACATTTGAAATGACCAAAGGCTTTACTACAGAAGCATTGCCAGTCTTTTGTGGCTTATTAGGGGTTTAAAGACAGGGGATTTGGGGATTAAAGATGTAGTTGGGGTCCAAGGAGGAGGAGGAGGAAATACCAACGTAAATGTTGTGTCACGCCATTATTCTGTGAGGTATTGATATCACTCCGGTCAAGCCGGTCGATTGCCGAAGCATAGTATCAGGGTTTATCACAATTCCCAAGCTTAATAAGCGGGTTTGAAAACAGGAGTACCATTATTTTTTTTTTTTTAATTTTCACTCACTCACGGACGTGATGACAGATGTATATTATTCTGCCATCACCACAGATTAATAGAAGAATCAAGAACGTGTATTTGTTTTAATTATTGTTAACCTACTTTTTTATTTATATTTTAAAAGCACTATTGACATTACAAAAGTACCTGTGTATAGTTGGAATAAATGATTTTGATATTTGACTTTTTTATTTTATTTGTATGTTTAAGTACAATGTACTCTAAATATCATCATTAGTAAGATTTGGTTCTTCGATTAAAATTTGTGAATTATCTTAGAGGTGAGTTCCATTAGTAGGTCGGAAAGATATCCCGTTCATCATGTTTACAACGCCAAACCGCCTACACAGGCAAATAACTAACTTTAAAATACTCACATTATCTACATTCCTTTTTGGAAGAGGCTCATATCCAGAAGTGGACTGGGATAGGCTGAGAAGTATGTCAGCTGCGGTCTATATAGAAAGGTAAATTGTTAATTTGTCACACCATGCCGGTAGGCCGTAGATTAAGGTTATACTCACTCGTGGGGCGCCGGCCACGTGGGCGCGTGTTTGTGTGTCGCAGCCCTAGCGCGCGCCAGTAGGGTCATCACCGCTCGTTTAGTCGGCGACATAGCGGCCCGAGTGCCTCCCAGCAGAGGTCGCTTGCGCGCCGTACTCGCAGCCCCCGGCCCAGCCGCACCTGACACATAATTAAGTTGGTTTGACAACCCTATTGCAACGTCTTAGTTTGGGCATAAGACATTGATACGCTTTACAAACTTTGGGTGAAAGAGATGGGTAATACTGTTATATGTCCATCTCTTTCTTCACTGCTATACATAGTTTTGATACTAGATTAAGTAATATTTTCAAAGTTTGTAAAATGTACCGCTGTCTTCGGGGGCTGGGAGTAAAAATCTTAGGTTAAAATAGTCTTGCGTTCATTCTGTTTTTAACTTCAGTATATATTTACATAAAAATATGTACATCCACTTTAGCATTTATTTTTTCACCAATTCTTATTTTCCTATTATAATGCATCCCAGATAGACGAAGCCTTAGAAAGTGTTGTGTTTTCTATCTCCTCCGCATCCCAAAAACCCAAATCTCAAACGAAGAAATCCTTAACAACTCACAAAAGGCCAGCGGCACCAATAGCTTACTATCAGGTGATTCGCTAGGTTGTTTGCCGACCAATCCCACATAAAAATGATGTTCGTTTTAAAAACTAACTAATATCTTTCTCAAACACAAGTGTGGGAGAGCCAAGCTTCGGTATAAATGGGTCAGCTCGACCGGAGTGATACCATGGCCTCACGGAAAACCAGCGTGAAACATCCACACCGATGTGTTTCACCTTGTGAGTTCAATAAGTGGACACCCAATCTCTCCCCCTCCCCCCATCTCTTCCCAATCTTTAAATATTCCGAAACCCGTAACTCTTTTGGTGTTGCAGGTGTCCATGGGCGGTGCTAATAGCTTACCATCCGGTAAACCGTCTGCTCGTTTGCCAACGTATCCGATAAAAAAAGTATTCATCATCATTATCAGCCTATAAGTGCCCACTGCTGAGCAAAGGCCTCTTCTCATACAGAGAAGGTTAGAGTATTAATCACCACGCTTGCTCAATGCGAGTTGGCGATTTCAAACTTATAAATAGAAATTATAAGTCCAGTTTTCCTCACGATGTTTACCTTCACCGTATGTCAGTGGTGTCTCAATAATCATAGAAAGTACATATAACTTTGAAAAAGTCACATTGGTACTTGCCAGGTTTCGAACCTACACCCTCATGCATGAGAAGCGGGCTCCTTAACCTCCGGGCCACCACGACAAAAAAGTATTATCAGACAAAAATAACAACACCTAGCCTAAGACAATATAGACAAATTCAATTCTAAAAGGCTATCTGGCTAGCCAATCAGAGTCGTCCTTATGACGTCACAGTTCATGAAGTGGCGCACCCGCGTAATTGCCCTGCGGTCGATCCATTACGTACAAGTTAGTCAGTACCTTGTTTGTCTTAATATGGCTAAATTTAATTAATATTATTGTACACACAATTCCTGTATTGTATTGTATTGGTAATGAGATTGACTGACGTTAATTAATATGTCTTAGTATTATTGTATTCTGTATTGATTTTGAATGTAAAGATTTATTTAGATGCATTCTTTTAAATTGTCAGTATGCTTCAGTGAGCGCCATATTCGAGACGATAAAGGATTTAAATAAGGAATTGATCCCATCATTTGTTCTTTTTTCATATGTAGGTACAATAATGTATATTAAATATATTGGCGGGTTTGTAAAAACTGACGATGTTTACAGTTTAATTACCAAATACGAATAAATTTTTATTTTTTATGTAATAGGTCGGCAAATGAGCAGACGGATTACCTGATGGTAAACAATCGGCGTCGCCCATGGACACTCGCAACGGAGGAGTTACGAGTGCGTTGCCGACCTTTTAGAGATTAGGTATTTGGAGATTTAGGGATTGAGGAGGGATTGGGGAAGGGGAAGGATTGGGCCTCCGGTAACCTCTCTCTCTCTCTCTCTTGTGTAAAAAAATTACCTAGTAAGTGTCAAACCTTATTCCATTTAACATAAATATAATAATACTTCTGTAGGCAAGATTCAAGCTAATGTTTTTATATAAACAGAACAATTTACAATCCGCCGGATCTAAATATGTTAAGGCTAATTATAACAAATCCGTTGTTAATACTTTATCTTCTAGAAAACAAAACAATTAAGTTTAATACTTGTAATAAAATGCAACTGAGCATTGTTTTAAAACACAACTAAATGACGTCTAGACGAATCGTTCAAGTTTGCTCAATTTACAAGGCCCTTCTGTCCTGTGCAAGTCATGAGAGACAAGCGATTTGAAATATAATAAAATATAACGCCCATTGGTAGAAAAAATCTGATTCTTTTGTGAAATAAAAAAACTATTTAGGTATTATATTATACTAGCAGTCCTGGCAAACTTCGTTTCGCTTCAAATATAACTTATATTTTTTTTCTGACCTTTTAAACCTTCTCTGTATAATCAGGGTACAAAACCACAAAAATAAATGCCATATCTGTCTCGCCTTTCTCGAATTTTAGCCTAGCGAACAGCAATCGATTTTTATATATAAGAAGATTTTAAAACTTCATATTTAATTTAGGAACCTAGGAATGAACGGTCACTTTCATAGTCCTAGAGTTGATTTAAGCGTCTACGCTAGTGCAAAAGTAATAAAAAAGATTTTATTTTAAGTGGTCAAGTAAGTAATATACCATTTTTTACCTATAGTTTGTTGTTGATATTATAAAAATATCTACTTCAATAAAGAACTAAGTTAAATAACCAGCGTTTTTTTTTAAATCTCTTTAAATATTTTTGAAATAATTTGGAGTAGCTCCACTAGATTCAATACAAATTGAGGAAAACGAACCACACCATAATACACTTAAACTCTATTTATTGCAGCCTTTATGTGTAATCTTGGTAAAAATTCCAATTAAAATATCCGTCTCTTCTGACTTGCACCAACCACCGCCACAAACCCTTCAGATGTCGTTTAAACTTTACAATATTAAGGGATGGTGGTCTCAGACGGTTCAATTAAATCGCTGTCTTTGTTCCGAGTGGTCTTAAGCAATTAGCTTAGTTTTTATATGAAAACAAATAGGAAAACTAAGCTTTGTTGTGGCTATCTTTGTTTTCCAAACTGAGCTTAATTGGTTTTCGGAAATTTGAGCTTTAATTTGGGTACGTTGTGTGTGGTTTTTGTGTATCAAAGCGATTTTCGCGTTTGTGAGAGCTAACGTCGGCGTTTCGAATGTTTTGTTAGACATATGAATGTATGGATTGTTGAGTCAGAGATTTTAGATGAATGAAAGATTTCTTTTTAAGGGTAACATTCAGATAATCTTGAGGTTAAGTGGGGTATGATTTCGAAGGCATTATTCGTTTTAATATCTCGGGCTTATAAGGTTGTTCGTTCAAACTTCATATTTTTTGCTTAGAAGAAAATAATCTTGGTCTCCATTTCTTATAAATAAAATAGACTAAGCTCTCAGCAACATGCCTCCTTCTCATTTCAACAATAACATCTCAGAATATCAACCCAAATAAACGATTCAAATGTAACTAACGAGATGAAATTTGAAATTCATACTGAGCATTGTTATTTTATTAATTAGAAACAAAGGCGTTTAAGTTTCAAAGCAGAGATGCTTAAATTGTAATCAACTCATAGATCCTAAAATTTCTCTTTACAATTTAAATTCTAGAATAATATTTGGCGTTTCATAAATACTAAGATTTTTAGACCTAAGTGTACTATGAAATAAGTTTGGATTTTAATCAAAACTTTATTCGATTTCTGCAAAGACTTACTAGAGTCACAAATGTGCTTAGTTTTCTTAATGGAAGTCGTAAATTGTAAGCTTTAGCACATACAATCAAAAGACCCTCGAGAAAATTATGTATTAAAACAAAAACAACATTTGAACTGACGTAAATATATCGATAAGCTTTTTTAATGAAGCTCTCAGTATTACCAACATTCAATTTTAGGTGTAAAATGGGCTTAGTTCTGGGTAACAATTACGAAAACGTGCTTAGTCACTTTTTTTGTAGGAATGAAATTTAGGACTTAGTATGTATTAAATTTTGTTGGGCTTAGTCTGGGAGCTAGATGAAGTCCGACGTACCGACCTTGAGTCGCCAGCGCGTGGACTGCGGCAGGCTTGACACCACGCAGCGCTGGGTGAGCGTGCAGTACACCGCCAAGCACTGGGCTGCTCAGCCCAAGGATATCGCCGCCACCTGGTTAGTTTACGTTAGTGAGCTTAGTTCTGGCTAAGTTTATTTTTCTATTCGATAAGTTAATTCTGGCGATGGTTATATAATCTGGATTACGTTAATTAAATGTGTTAGATAGATATGTCATTATTGTCTTAAGACATTGACGTCATCATCACACTATGATCAAAGTTTTAGTGTTCTTAAGATGATAAAGACGTAACTAGGCCATATATCTAATTTGTAATAAGCTGTTGGGTCAAGATAATCAAATAAATAAATCAAGGACAGTAACGACTGGTTAAAATAGGGCAACTAACTAACAGTAATCGTATTATTTTTTCTTTATAACATGCTTGCTAATTCGTTGCTTAAACCCGAAGTTAATTATTTTTGACTATGTATATAGTCCGCCTCAAGTAGTAAAAGTAGGTAAAGCAAAGTTGCAGAAGACGACCGTTACTATGTAAACTTGATTTTATTTTCTTTTCTAATTAAATGATACGACATTAATAAACGGATATTGTTCACTAATTAAAAAGTATGAGTGTCGAATGCACTCCATACAAAATAATTTAACACAGAAACATTTCAAAGGCATTAAACATTGTTAAAAATAAAAGACAAAAGAAAAAGGAGCTTGAAACAGAAGCTTTAAAATAACGTTGTTTATTTTTTACAGCGAGAGAAAAGTTTTCAGAATAACATATCGGAAACCCCTTATTTAACCTTCCTTGTGTTCAAATATACGCTATATTTTCTGAGCTTAGTTCTGGAACGTTACTTTGTGCTTAGTTTTTGAAAGTATCGTTGCAACTAATGATCAGTAGTTGAAAAGTTTTCCGTGAATTGTTTAAAAGTTAATGGACCGTTGTTTTGTAAGTTTACCGTGGAGTTTGGTAGACCGTTGAGAAATAAAGTAGTTTGTACGTCGAATCTTGGTTAACTACACTTGAAGTCATTAGGGTACTGCGATAATTAATTCTAATTTGTAAAGTCGAGACGTTCCTTAGAGATTTTTTGTCAAAATAACTTTGAAAATAATTTATTTTAGTAATGGTTTTTCGTAAATATTCTTCGAAAGTGTCAGGAGAATATTCAAGAAAGTATTTTTTAAGAGAACTTGTCAAACTCAATGTAGATTTAGAGGCATTACTTAATGGCTTTGTTAGCACAATGATGAGAACTCAATAATCTTTAGTTGCTTTTGGCTTTGCTCATGTTGAGATTACTAATATGAATACTTAATTTATTTTTTATTTTTACCGCCGTTGTAAAGCGCTGCAATGCGCAAATCTTAGTTCATTTTTTTTTTTTGAAAATAATATTAGCTCTATTTTTTGGCCCGAGATAATATTGAAAATCTAGCAGTGGTATGGGTGAGTGTGCTGTTTAGCCTTCAGTTTTGTGTATGTTCTTCTTCATTTAAGTGTCTTTTTTATTTGATATTATAAAGGCGAAAGTGTTTTTATTATTTTCATATTCATTTCACGTCAGGCGGAGAAGTTATATGGCAGGATATACTGACTAACTTTCTATACTTAAAAATGTCTTCATTAAGTCTCAAGCATTACCAGGTTAAGCAGGGTATAATGTATATAGTTTTATTATGAACTTACCGAGTATAGAGTTTTGTGTAAGAAGGTGGTGGGTGGGAGGTTGTTGCAGCACCCCCCCTCCGACCAGCACGCTGTGTCCCGTGTGACCAGCTGCTAGCTGCGAACAAAATTTATCAGGATTAATATAGTTGAAGAATTGCTAGAATTTATATTCATGGGATCTCGATGAATACTTTTTTTATTGGGATAGTTCAGTAAACGAGCTGATGGTGGTACCTGATGGTAAGTAACCGGCGCGGCCCATGGACATCCGCAACACCAAAGGAGTTACGAGTGCGTTGCTGGCCGTTTAGGGATAAGGGTTCCGGATATTTAAGGTTTTCAGTAACCTCACTCACACGGCGAAACACAACGCTGTGGTTGTTTTACGCCGGTTTCTGTGAGGCCGTGGTATCACTCCGGTCGAGCCGACCCATTCGTGCCGAAGCTTTACTCTTCCACACTTAACGCTTACACATACATACGTACTCTCGCACATACATAACGAAGTCATTTTAAATTTTATTTTTTAATTTTTCTATAAATCTTAATTAGGTTATTATTTTTTTACATCGCTTGCGGCTTTTGTTTAAATTAGAAATAACAGAATTCTTCTTTCCTGGTTTAGAACACAGAAGAAAACTCTTAACAAGAATATTTTTTAATACGCTCCTGTAGACGATTTTTCATGTATTTTTATTTGAAGATGAAATGTAAAAGATATTGTATTAGGACGTTGTCGTTGGTGCCAAAGACTCTGTGTACTGATTTTTAGCTATCTACTTTAAGATTTGGGAAACGTGTCAAAGAAATATTTGCCTCCCATTTTTGGGAATTATTTAAGCTAAATCCCCACCATCATTCAAGTAGTCATGCTTTTGTGTTCTTACACGAATTACTTACATGATATTATATTTAAATAGATTATAATTATTGTAGGTGAACTGTTAGGTTTAATGAAAAAAAAACAAAAATGTTTCAATAGGTTTTTCTATTCAACACAACTTAAAAATGACAAAAAAGTAAAAAAAGGATCATCAAAAAATAACATAACACAAAAACCCAATAGTTAACCAAACCACCCAAATTACAGATAGAAAAGTCCAATTTTTTGCTCACACTTTTGCACCCTGAAAAAAGTGACTAAAAAGGCCTTTATTCGTCCAAAAATCAGATTCCACTGAAACAGTAGTCGCCCAATACAGCTTTGGCCTCTATGACATCCCGCACTGAATAAATACGGCGACCACTACTGAATTTCAGGTCCGTGACTATCTTTCAACTACGTAAAAATTCAACGTGAAAATTGTGCCTGAATATTTTTTTTCGTATACGGAATCTGAAAAAGGTTTGAGCTATTCAGGCGAAAGCTCTTGTTGAGTCTGTTTGAGGGGACTGAACGTAATTGTGTACTAGTGAAAGAATTTGACATTTCTGAAAAATACGCTGTTTTCTGAAAATTACTACTGGCAGTTTAAAAAGTTGGTATGTGACTGAAAACCGTTTATCGACATCAACTTAATTCTAGTTGTCACGTATTTACTCCATCTCTTTGGAACTTTATCTGTATTTTTTTCTCTCTCTCTATTTATATCTCTATTTTTTATTTACATTTTTCTAAATAAAAGGTGAAATAAAGAAAAACTTGCATGAATTGCTGCCTACGACGTAGTATAGTGGCTGCTACGCCGTAGCAAATGACTACGAATTCGTAACCAGCACCTCCTTCTTTTGTTTTGATCATATTTATCAATTTTATTGGTAACTGGGGTCAACATTATTCTCAAGAAACACATTTTAATGGGTTACTAATTATCAACTCATTATAATCAAATAATTATCAACAAAATGACCTCAGTTCACACTTTAACCTGATTTAATTAAGTTTAGGTACAAAGTACATAAGGTGGGCTTAGTGCCCACAATCATTCTCACTAGCTAAACCTTCGGGTGATGCAGTGAGAATATGGTCAGTGCAATATAGTGTAAAAAAGAATAATCGAAATGAATCTAAACCTTCCAGGGCGCCACTCATACAGAAAAGATCATTTAAAACGGTCTAGCCGTTTAGGAGGAGTTCAATGTTACACACGTACAGCTGAATTATAAAAATAAAAATATTTATTTTCATTTACCTATGTATAAAGTACAGTACGACTTTAGGAATTACCATTTGAGCAAACATTTGCTTGTGATAAGTTTTTTTTTGGTGAGGTGAAAATCATGAAATGACTTCTCCCGCCCAGGGCCGGGCGGGAGGGAGTGTCAGACTCTTACTGACTAAAACCCCCCTGTTCCTTCTCCTGCTCTGTGCCGAGGCCACGGTGCCTCGTTGTGCTTACCTCGCAATCCCGGCTGGCTTGTGATAGGTAGTTCCACATTATAAAATATATCTGTATATAAAGATTAGTAGAACATAATAAATGTAAGTATGTACATACATACCCAATAATATACATGAACACACTACATAATTTCTATAAAATCAGGCTTCAGAAACTTAGGCACGAGTTCAGAAACCCCATAAATGTCCATATATGTAGGTACTTGCATATACCATAAAAACTTCTATAACGGTGTGTTTCACCATACTGTCTCGCCATAAAACTTAATCAAATATTGTTTAGTACTTTAATGAACAAAAGTTTTAATGATATGATCTTTGAGAAGATTTATACTGTTCAGTAAACTGCAAATTGAGAGGTGGAAAATGGACTTTATTGCTATTGTTTTAAGATACTTGATTGTTTTATGATGACGTGTTATGGAGTTTATTGTTAGGTACACACACACACACATAAATATTATCAGCTTATACATATGTGCCCTTTTCTAAGGTGCTTTTGTGGTACATATGTATTCATCATCAGCTGGAAGACGTCCACTGCTGGACAAAGGCCTCCCCCTTAGCTCTCCACGTCGAACGACAAGTTGCCACCTGCATCCATTGGCTCCCCGCGACTCTGACGATGTCGTCGGTCCACCTAGCTGGAGGCCTGCCCACACTACGTTTTCCGGTCCTTGGTCGCCACTCTAGGACTTTTCGGGCCCATCGACCGTCCGTCTTTCGAGCGACATGGCCTGCCCATTGCCACTTTAGCCTGCAGATTTTACGAGCCATGTCGGTGACTTTGGTTCTTTGGCGAATTTCCACATTTCGGATTTTGTCGCGCAAAGAGACCCCGAGCATAGCCCGCTCCATCGCGCGCTGAGCGACGCTGAGTTTAGAAAGAAGGCCAGAAGTTAAGGACCACGTCTCAGTACCATACGTCATCACCAGCAACACACACTGGTTAAACATCCATACATATGTATTATGATGTGATAATTTTATATGCATGTGTTAAGTATACGCTTATTATTCTCAGAAGAAGTAAGTAAAAATGTTATTTGTGCATTTTTTTTTAAATAACGATGAAATGGTTTTATTTTTAATTGGTGATGGTTATAACCATCATGAAATCAATCAATCTTGGTTTAATTTCATGATGGGGATACAACAGAGATAGGTTATTGCAAAAAAATGTGATATTGATAATATTTTCATTATTTTTCCTAAAAAGAGGAATTTCCTTAAAGTAATAATATTTTCTTTAGTGTGGTAGGACTTGAACGGAGCCCGACGGATAACCTGATGGTAAGCAATCGGCGCCGCCCATGAACACCCACCACACCAGAGGAGTCACGAATGGCTTTTTAATATCCTTAATTAATAGAGAAATAATTTAAAAAAAGGTGGTGGCTCAGAAGTAGGTAAATGAGCCCGCTTTTTATGCATGAGGGTGTCGGTTCGAAACCTGGCAAGTACTGATGTGACTTTTGCCGAGTTATATGTACTTTCTATGATTATTTAGACACCACTGACATACGGTGAAGGTAAACTCATTCGTGTACCTTCGTAGGAAATCGTAAGGAAACCTGGACTTATAATTTCTAATTATAAGTTTGAAATCGCCAACCCGCATTGAGCAAACGTGGTGATTAATGCTCTAACCTTCTCCGTATGAGAAGAGGCCTTTGCTCAGCAGTGGGCACTTAAAGGCTGATGATGATGAATAGGGAATTATGGTTCCGTCGTTATTCTCAATAAATTTAGATGTCGAATGTTTTGGTTTAAACTAAATAAAACTCGGGAATGCTAATAAAATTTTTTCTTTGTTCTTTTATAACGATGTTACTTAGAATTTTATAAAAAAAAGAAAGTTCAGTTCTATCTTTCCCCACTGGAATAACAAGCACAAAGTTGTTCCATCGGTACGTGCATAAGTGACAATGGACTTAACTTAGTTAACAAGACATTTAGTTCAAACTTGGAACTTTCTAGTACTCTAGGTGACCGATAAACTATAGAGCATTAGGGACTGTGCCTAGGAATTCAGACCTTAAAGACTTAGTGGGTAGTTGCGAAAGTGTACCTATATATTATAGGGTTAGAGTTTAGAATGTAATTTGGGTTATATGTGAGTTAAGTCGAGTTTGGCTAGTTAATACACTTCCTTCCCACCGTACTTGCTTCATTTCAAATTCTTTCGCGGTTGGTGCAATTAAGCTATGGAACAAGCTACCTACCGAAATTAAAAAGGCTCCAAACAAAATTACTTTTAAGCGTGAGGTTTATAAACTTTATTTAAATCGTTGCAATGCTGATATCTAAGGCTTTTCGTCAATATGTTTTATTTGTTTATATACATTTATACAGTAGGCATATATATACATATTTAATTGTTCTTAACATGTAACATTCTATATACATATATAGTATGTATTATCTTATCATTTTTAGATTGTATATCTATTATATATTTACTATATATGTAGGTATGTATCTATATTGTATTGTCTTTTAATATTTTATTCTATTTAATTCGTATAAACATATTTCCCGTACCTATTTTTCGCAGATTTTCCACTTGACCCAAAGGTTGACTGGTAGAGAATGCCATATGGCATTAAGTCCGCCTTTTGTACCAACTTCATTTCATTGTGTACAATAAAGCATAAATAAATAAATACATTTTCGATGTGTAGCTTTTGGTTTTAGATTTTTTAAACAGTTTCTTTTTATAATAAGTCATTTGTGAAGTTTCAAGTTAGGGAAGACCATGCTTCGGCACGAATGGGTGTGATAAGACTGGAGTGATACTACGGCTTTACAAACGACTGCAGTGAAATAACGTATAATTGATGTCTATCGTCCGGTCCCCTGTGGTTTCACCTCCGATCTTCAAATCATTCGATCCTCTAATCAATAATCTTCATAAAGATGTAATTCCTGATGCATACTCTTATACATTCCCGTTTTTGTGGGTTTCCATGGAAGTTGGTTGCTTAGTATAAGACGAGGTCTAATAAGATTTTTTTTTTCTTCATACTATGATTTTCTTCTGCGTCGTGGGTGCGTTTACAAACATTCAATTTTACCTACACAATACACCCATCAGTACAACTATTTGTGGATCACCCGGGAAGTTGATTTGTTATTTTTGGACCCTGTCATCATCCATATTGAATAAAGATTTAATTTCTCAAAATTATTTACAACTAGGAATCTCCGAGGGTTCCTCTCACCTGATGGTGTGCTGCAGACAGATGATCGGGCGCTGGCGTCGGTGCTGGGGGTGAGAAGTCCCGAGTGTTGGTGCCGTGGTTGATGGCAATGCCACCTGGCAGAGACGCAGGCGCTGGAGATGGAGGCACTCCAGAGAGCTGGGGGTGGAAACGAATCAGTGAGTGAAAGCAGTGTTGTTTTACTTGGAAGTAGTAAGGTAACTGGAGGCCCAATCCTTCCCCTCCCCTAATCACTTCCCAATCCGCAAAAGGCCGACTTATTACTCCGTTGCTGCTGCGGGTCCATGTGCGGCACCGATTGCTTACCACCAGTTAATCCGTGTGCTCGTTGGAAAACCGATGACGGAAAAAAACATATTTTAAGTTTGGGAGAGCCATGCTTCGGCACGAATGGGTCGGCTCGACCGGAGTGATACCATGGCCTCACAGAAAACCGGCGTGTAACAATCACAGCGTTGTGTTACGCCGTGTGAGTAAGGTTACCGGAGGCCCAATCTTTCCCCTCCCCCAATCCCTAAATCTCCAAAAACCTAATCCCTAAGAGGTCGGCAACGCACTCGTAACTCCTCCGTTGCGGGTGTCTATGGGCGGCGCTGATTGCTTACCATCAGGTTATCCGTCTGCTCGTTTGCCGACATCTTCTTATATATAAAATGAATTGCTGTTCGTCAGTCTCGCTAAAACTAGAAGAAGGCTGAACCAACATAGCATAATGTGGTCTTGAAATATTCTTGGATATACAGGGCAGGTTTAAAAGGTCATAAAATTTAGCTAAATGAAAAAAATAAAATATTTGTGACTGTACGAAGTTTGCCGGGTCAGCTAGATATGACATAAAAAAAGTAAGGGCCGCTAATAAAATAAAATTCTGATAACTCAGTTAAAATAATGTATCTATGAGTTTTAAAATAGTAATATTTTATTACAAGAAACAAGGTAACGATGGAATTTCTTGTTCTTTTCCAGGCACATTTGTATTTTCTAACGAACATCTAGTTTCAATGATAGACAATTTAAATTTGGCATTTTAAAAACGCCTTAAAGGCTGAATTGCTTTGATTTTGACTTTGAAAGGTTTTATTTACTTTATTAAGGTCTGATTTTTCAATAGTCAGATAAAAGTTATCTGAGGAATACAATTTTTGCTGTCACTGTCTTATATAAACATTCTGACGCGACAGCATCATAATTATTCCCCACGTAACTTGTATCTAACCACTGCAAAATAAGCACAAATAAAACTAAATACATTCATTTTGTAATCAATGACGCATAATTATAAGAGTCTTCTTTGATACATCCTTTGACAGCTAGTCAGTAGCCACTTTAGGTTTTCAAGTTTAAATTAGCTGTTTGTCAGCACTTTGTCTTTAAAATATTTTGTTTTTTTTTGCAGTTGAAAGAGCGTTTGTAAGCTAAACTTATTTCTTATGATTTAAATTTAAATCGAGAGTTCTTTTCTTTCTCCTTATAAATACAACTTACAAAAGCATTTTATTTTACTAAGATATTAATTAAATTAAAATATTTGTACACCAATGACATTGGTAAAACATACAGCTCCATCAAAATGTGTACTTATCACCTTTGTAAACATAGCCATGCTTCGGCACAAATGAGTCCGCTCAGTAATACCACGGTCTCACAAATAAATAAAAGATTGAATTGATTTTATTTATTTAAAAAAAAATGAATCTTGATGTTGACCACTATGAATGAGTACTATAGCTTGTTTTGATGTTGATACATCATTCAATGCATTTTCTTACTCTGGGCGGGGAAAGAGCGAGTGTCAGAATTTAACTGACTAAAATCACCCCGTTCCTTTTACTCCAGGCTGACCCTTGACGTATATTTTAATAGGTATATGTTATATTTTAGGAAACTTTACTAATAACATAGATTCTTAATCTTTGACAAAGTTTGACATATATAATATAAAAGGATAAAACTTAATACACCTACACATTACCTACGCCTTCCAAGAATATCAGATTAAATTCAAAGAACACATCAAGTTTAGGTTTTAATAAAAAAAATAAGTGTGGGAGCCCGAGGTACTGCGAGTAGCATTCCTAGCGCGCTTCAAAGAGCCAATAGACCACCACAGACGGGGCCCTATAGGGCTGATGTTCAGCCGGGGTTGCGGGGTAAGCGCAATTAGGCACCGCGACCTCGGCCTAGAGCAGGCGAAGGAACGGGGGATTTTAGTCAGTAAGAGTCTGATACTCCCTCTCGCCTTACACTGGGCGGGAGAAGTCATTTGATGATTTTCTCCTCATAAAAAAAGTGTGGGAGTGCCATGCGTCGGCACAAATGTGTCGGTTCGACTGGAGTGATACCACGGTCTCACAATAACTCGGCCACCACAACCTTGCGTTTCGCCGTGTGAGTGAGGTTCCAGGCGGTTCCAGGGGGTTCTAATCTTGCCCCCTCCTCCCCACATCCTCCATCCTCAAATCCCCTAACCTTCACTTTTTAACAAACCACCACAGGCCAGAGGCATTTGTAGTAATACCAAAGAGTCCTTTGTGTTAATCGGCGGTGCCGATTGCTTACCATCAGGTAATCCGTTAGCTCGTTTGCCGACTTGTGCCATAAAACAAATGGTAAAATAATTATAACATTCAAATTTTACCTCTGGTCATCATTTCAGGTTATAAAAGTGTTACTATAATACATTTTGATTATAATGTTGAGAATGAAAAAAAAAGAATTTATACAGAAGCGTACGGAAAGATTTCAATTGTATCCATATGTCAACTTAAAATGATATTATCCTTTGACATTTGCAGATCCGTATCATTTTTTACATAACTATATGGATCTCAATATAATTTTTTATTCGTCATCTCTGAATGGCCTAATAACGGATCACTGGACCCTTATCCGTCAATAGAACGCGTCCAATCTAGAGCCTATTGTCAACTGCGTAGGTGTTACGAATAACAATTTTGATTCCGTCTCTACGTGGGCGGTTCGCATATGGGAAGTTTTTTTGTGTACATGAAATAGTTTCGTTATAAAAGTATGTGCTATATTTCTTTTCAAAGTTTTCTCAAAAGAAATAGGTATTTGATTGTGTAAGTGTAACAAGTGTGTGATTATATTTTTAATGGTGGAAATTACGAAATGACGAGTGCGAAACGTAGGTAACCAAATTTCTGACAAACAAAACTTCGCACACAGCGTGCTAACAACATCTTTCGCGAATGTTCTACCGCTTATATTGTACTGAGACTCATTAGTAGTTTACCTTCAGAAAGAAGAAAAATAAGACTGGTTAAAATATGAAATGTAAACGAAAACAATATTGCTTAAGTACTATTGTCACTTATTTAGGGAACTGAAGATTTTATAATTGCTATCGATTTTAACAAATTACGCGCCATGGGGGTCACCGGTGACCTCCGTTAGCGGAGGATTTGCCTTCAACAGTTTTTTGTCGGCCGTCAAACGATTAACGTAGGTCTGTATTTACTTATTTATTTATTTTCCTTTATGCATATAGTACATAGGTGGAATTAATGCCACCAAGCATTCTTGCTAGCCAACCTTTGGGCGATGCAGTAAAGTACAAGAACAAACTTCAAATAAAAGTAATTCTGTACACATTTGTAATGAACTCATTCTGTTAAGTCTCAATATTGAAAAAGATTCTGAGATTTGTGCAATAATTTTAACCACAGCCGAATGTGGTTTCTTTCTAAAATTAAAAATTTCATAATTCTTTTGTATGTGATCAATAACTGTTTTTTACCCGACTGCCAAAGAAGGAGGGTAATGTTTTTCGAGTGTATGTAAGTATGTATGTATGTCTTTTCCTTTGTGACCTCCTGTAGCCTAAACGGCTTGATGGATTTTGATGTATGAGGTATCGTTAGATTTGTCTTGATTACGGGAGTGTCATAGGATACATTTTATCCTAAAAGTCCCACGGGATAAAGACATAATAATATTTTTTCTAAATTTCCCTTTAAAAAAATGTGTATGCGGTATCATTAGATTCATTTCAATCACGGGAGTAATTAATATAGGATACGTTTTTTCTCAAAATTCCCACGGGAACATGTTAATTCTGCGTCAACGCAAAGCAACTCATGCGTTAGCAAGCAAAAAGATAGGGCGTGGCCTGGCATGCGGCGCGCGGCGCGGTGCGGAGCTAAAAAGTTATAAATAAAAAAAATATTATTAAAAAATCAAAATACCCGACTGCACACTAAAAAAAGAGTAAAACAAGCCCCACAATACAAATTTACTGAATATAATTTATAAATGTTGATGGAAAGCATCGCAGGCGGGGACCACCTTGACCGCCACCAACGAAAATTCTGCTAAATGGTGCACAACAGAAATGACTATAAATAAGCCTCTGTTGGTCCCCGCCTGCGATGCTTTCCATCAACATTTATAAATTATATTCAGTAAATTTGTATTGTGGGGCTTGTTTTACTCTTTTTTTAGTGTGCAGTCGGGTATTTTGATTTTTTAATAATAATTTTTTTATTTTATTAAGTCACATTATTGTTTATATTGTAGTGAAAGTCTATTAGGTTTTAATACAGAGTATCTTATAGTAGTAACTCCATCCATTCATCACGTGGTCGTCTGACCTCATTAGGGTCAAAGTTCAGCAAAAGTCTCTCTCGTCATTTATACCGCGTACATCGAGGGATTGGAACAGTTTGCCGGCTGCAGTCTTTCCGTCCAAATATAATTTAGGTGTCTTCAAGGCTAGAGTGAATAGGCTCTTAATAAACTAGTGCGCCTTACCATCAACGATTGCATCACTGCTTACCATCAGGTAGGATCGCATCACTGCTTACCATCAGGTAGGATCGCAGTCAAGCACGAGTAGCAGTATAGCAAGTAAAAAAAAAGAAAGTTAAATAGCCAAGGGTTGGAACAAGAGAAGGAACTGGTTAGTTTTAAGTCAGCAAGTTTATATTTCCCCCCTTCAAATAATATTCATATAGGCCCTAAGAAGGTCGAAAGGAAAAGTTACTCACTCTCTGTTTATGCGTAGTATCCCTAAGAGGAAGAGCCTCCTCGCTGCCACTCCGGGAGGATTCAGGAGGAGTGAGCCGACGCTGCTCAGTCTGCGAGGACAGGATCTGCATCTCCAGCATCTGTTCCTGTCTGATGTCGTCGTTGTAGTCCTGCGAAGATGATCGTTGTTTAGTACAATTTAAGAAGAATTCTGATTGAAAAAGAACAAATTTTATCACAGACTTTTGGCACACGAATTCTTTTTTATGTAATAGGACGGGAAAAGAGTCGACTGATTACCTGATGGTAGGTAATTGGTGCTGCCCAACATCAGAGGAGTTATTAGTGCGATGTCGGCCTTATAAGGATTAGGGTAACGAAGATTTAGAGGCCAGGGAGCGAAAAAAGGATCTGGCCTGTGCCATGTGTTTTGCCATATAAGTAAGGTAACCACCTAACTTATATCAGCCGGGGTTGCGGGGTAAGCGGAATGAGGCACCGCGACCTCGGCACAGAGCAGGAGAAGGAACAGGGGGGTTTTAAGTCAGTAAGAGTCTGACACTCCCTCCTGCCCGGCCCTGGGCGGGAGAAGTCATTTGATGATTTTCCCCTCACAAAAAAAAACCCACCTAACTTATATGGCAAAACACAACGCTGATGTTGTTTCACACCGTTCTTCTGTGAGGTTGCTGAATCAGTCCGGTTGAGCCAGTAATTCGTGCCGAATCATGGCTCTGTCTCACTTGATATGGCAGCAAATGGGTAATTGGATCACCTGATGGCAAGCAATCGGATCCGCCCGACACCAGAGGAGTTATATTTGTGTATTCGGCCTTCCGTGGTTGTAAGGGCTGGACCTCAATGATTATGGTTTTGGGAATGGAAAGATGTTTTGGACCTCTAGTAATCTGACTAAAACAGCAAAATGTTTGTTTTACGACGGTATCTTGTAAGTAAGGTTAAAGATGAAAAGTGTCAGTCTGCCAGTCAGTCCTCTTATGCCCGGTTCCTATAATTGAGAAACGATCCGTTTTAGTTACGAATAGTAGTTTTATATACGACTCGTAAGCTAAAACCGTTCCTATAACAAACGTCTCGTCGTGCAGCTTACTGACGGTTTGCAACTAACGGATGTCGGTAAGCGAATTGTATGGAGATCTATGGTGTCTGTGGTGTTCCTATAAATATTTTAACCGTCAGTAGACGGTCAAGATAACTATTCGTAATGTCATTTGGTCGTAATGCGTATACAACGACGATTCGTTAAATATAGGAACCGGGCATTAGTGAACCTCGTTCCAAAGTGTAGATTCTGATGGAGAAGAATGTGCAAGAAACTCCATGGTTATTCTTTTTAAATCAATTTCACATAATATGTATTAAAATCTTTAACTTCTGTCGACCAGTCAATAAGTTATGTATAGTGCGTTTCATGTTTATCTAGGTTGTATAGTTATATCTTGCATCTAGGTATCCTAGGGTATAAAACTAGTCAATAGGTTGGTAGGTCATAAAATAGTGCATTACCACGTAAGCTGTTACGTTTTATAGCGGCTGCCATAAATGTCCTTTCAAAAGGAATTGTGTGATGTTCTTCAAGAAGAAGTGTCACGCTTGTTATTTGAAAAAGGAGTAATAGAGTTTCCTTAACTAATTCGTATATTATTTTTATATATTTTTGAAATTCATGGATGCAGGTCGCTTCCAACCGGCCTATCTGGAAGTCAATGGGGGAGGCCTATGTTCAGCAGTGGACGTCCTGTGGTTGATATGATGATGATGATGATGATTTTTGAAATTTTGTGATATTATTTTCTTAAGTATGATTTTTTTAAACGTTGCTACACATTAATATTGCCTCCTGTATCGTGTGTGCGTTTACTTAAAATAAAAATTCGCATACACGAGCCACCCAGACGTGTTTTCGCGTCGGGAATCGAATACATTTGTATATGTGACAAACGAGTTGATGGTAGAATCTATACTTAATATTATAAAGAGGTAACATTTATAAGTTTGTAAGTTTGTATGTAGGGGGTAATCTTTGGAACCGCTGGTCGGATTTCCAAAATTATTTCACTAATAGATAGCTACAATGTCCCCAAGTGCTGTAGGCTATAAAAAATTGCCCTAAGACCAATAGGAGGAACATACAGAAGAAAATCAGCTTTATTAATTAACTAGTTACTGCCACGCGGTTTCACCCGCTGCTGGGCTCTATAATTGTAGCGTGATGTTTTATAGCCTATAGCACTCAGGAACATTGTAGTTATCTATCAGTGAAAGAATTTTGAAAATCCGACCAGCAGCGGTTCCAAAGATTACCCCCTACATACAAATTTACAAACATACAAACTTACAAATTTTACCCCATCATAATATTTGTATAGATAACTCCAACATTACACGAACAAATCATTAATTTGAAAGTTATATATCATTTACGAGTATTTAACGATAGCAGATTTTATGGTATTTTATGTTTGATGGCGACGTTATTTAATGGCGTCGTAAGAATATACTTCCTTCATTCCTTGTGGATCTAACCCTTTGTTCTACCTAAGATCTAATATAAAGATTCTTCACACTTGAACTTGCACGGCCTAAGTTGAGGGTGCAAGCGAAATAAAGTACCGCGGATCCGCTTGGAGTAAGAGTAGGAATTGGGTGGTTTTGAGTCAGTAAGAGCCTTTTTTTTGTGAGGGAAAAATCATCAAATTCCTCCCGCCCAGGGCCGGGCGGGAAGGAGTGTCAGACTCTTACTGACTAAACCGCCCCCCGTTCCTTCTCCTGCTTTAAGCCGAGACCGCGTTGCCCCATTGCGTTTACCGCACAACCCCCGGCGTAAGAGACTCTTCGTCTCGCACAATCCAGGGTGGGAGAAGTCATTTTGTGAATTCCTCCCTCTCTCCCATCAAAAAAAGGGGTCTACATATTATATGCCTATAGTGCCCACCAATAAGCAAAAAATAATCACCACGCTTGCTTAAGAGCGATTGGCGATTTCAAACTTTCAATAAGAAATTAGGTCCAGGTTTCCTCACGATTTTTCTTCACCTTATATCAGTGGTGTCTAAATATATTACAAAGAACGTACAAACTTGCATCCTCAAAAGCGTGTCAGAACCACGATTACCACCACCAGCCACCACGACATTATAACCCGCGTAGTGTAAAAATCTTGAATTTACAACCACGATTGTATATACAATGTATTATTAAACCACTAAAGAACATCTCATCAAAAATATTGCCTTGAAAATATACGAACATATAAGAACGCGGGAAAAATACGCAAATAGCCTATCCATGTCAGTCTAGCACACATTTTATGGTACGAATGTTCAGTACACAGTATTAAAATTCAGTAGTTAATATCTCAGGGGCGTTTTACCTCTCTGTATGTGCCAAAAACATTGGTAGCGTGATCATTTATGTAGTGAGCGCATATTGGTACGTTGAAACAGAAATATGAGTGGGGAAATTGGAATGCTACTGTTTTTTCTACTTTATGCATCAAATTACAGGCTTCATTTTTCAATGTCAGAGGTGTACTTTTTTTTGTTGCTTGATGTATACTAGATTTGTTTTGGTATTGTGAATGTTGGGTCATTAAGATTTTTTCAGTTTTTAGATATTTTTTCAGTAATGGGCGTGTAGTCAGTATATATGTTTTTGTTTTACATACAAGTACTTATTTCATTTTAATTGAATTTAGAATCGTAGTGTTTGCAATTTCTATATTATTACTCTTCCTATTATTTTAAATTATATTCTTTCTTTTTTTGTGCATGTTGTGACATTAAATACACTATAATAAAATTAAATGCTGTACATTTAATTTTATTATAGTGTATTTAATGTTTAGACGTAAGAAATAATGTAACAGTTGTCCATTGTATTAGCTGTCCATAATTAAATAAATAAATATATTTTGGCAAATCAGGTGATTTGGGAAGAAATCAACCTCTTTGTTAAAGATATATGAAATTTTAATTTTTTTTTCTGCATCGTCCTTTGCGAAGGCCTTTTTGCAAACGGTAAAGGAATAAACACAATCAAAACACTTGTTCAAGACGGATTGGAGATAACAAACTTATAATTTAAAAATATGTATAACTCTAGGTTTCCTCACGATGTTCTCCTTAACTACGTGTATATCAATGATGAAAAAATAATCTTCAAACTCCATATTACTCGAAAAAGGTCGCATTGCTTGTCGAGTTTCGAACTTTCTACATGAGAAGTATCATCAGCCTTTAAGTGCCCCATGCTGAGCAAAGACCGCTTCTCACATAGAAAGACTATCTTTTTTGAGAAGCGGAGAATGGATCCACAACAACTTCCATCAGCACTATGTAAAACCTATTTGTAAATACTGTTAAATGGCCTTCAAGTGTCTCAATTTTCATCAAACTGTAAGTTTGGAAAATGTTAATATTTATTATTAATTTTTAGATTTAAGTGTAATTAATAACTTAAGTAAATGTTAAGGGATTGTTGGAAGGATTGAGCCTCCAGTAACCTTAATCACACGGCGAAACACAACGCTGTGGTTGTTTCAAGCCGGCTGTCTGTGAGGCCGTGGTATCACTCCGGTTAAGCCGACCCACTCGTGCCGAAGCTTGGCTCTCCCACCTTCCAACAATCCCTTAATCTTCAAATCCCTAATTCCTAAAACGTCGGCAAAGCACTCGTAACTCCTCCGTTGCGGGTGTCCATGGGCGGCGCTGATAGCTTACCACCAGGTAATCTGTATGCCCGTTTGCAGACACAATACATTAAAAAAAACTAATTGGTTTTTAGTTACGTACCGGTACTAAGAATCTTCTAAGTTCGGCCAGTGCGTACGCGATCCTGGCGTGCGCTTCAGCTGGTGTAGCGAAAGCGCTAATCTCAACGTGAAGCTCGTCTGATAAGTGAGCGAACTTGGGATCTCCTGACACGCGGAGCTCTTCCTCCTAAAAGAAGAAATTGAGGTATTAAGAAAAAGTCGTATATACAGTAGTTTGGTAGTTTTATATTCCAAGAAACAAATTCCTGTTAAGAAAAATAAGTATACATATAATTGCAAGATTTTCCTAGATTTTATAATCTACATACTAGCGGTCGCCCGCAGCTCAACCCGCGTGGATGTCGATTTTACACTTTTCCGAGATTTTTTATTTTATTTTCTCTACGTACAAATGTTTTCTAGACTTCCACGAATAGTTATTGTTAAGTTATTACAACTAAAAGTGGCAATGATTCTTAAACATATTTATATAGATTACTAGCGGCCCGCCCCTGCTTCGCACGGGTCTCCCACTATCTCGCTTACGACCAAAGTGTCCCTATTTCCCAGATCTCCTCTCCACTTTTCTAGAATTTTCTATCATAAGAACCTTTTCCTGACCATAACAAACACATCAAAAAAAGAATTGGCAAAATTGGTCCAGGCGTTGTTGAGTTATGCGCTTACCAACACATTTTGCGATTCATTTTTATATTATAGAAGATAATAATCAAAAATGAATATTGAAAAATGTCTCCAAATTATATTAATATATATTCTTGGGAATATCTTTCAATGACACTAGTTAAACATCCTTTGACTGCTGTAAACTCGATTATGTGTTTGTAAGCTCATATCTGCGAAACAGCTGTATCAAATTGGATAATTTTTGCTCCTAACTGCTATTGATGGAGTAAAGTGTATTTGATGAAATTAAGGAAATTGCTCTCGTTCAGAATCTACGATCAACCTCATTGTGTCATTGTGACCTCAATGGTAAGGGTCGTGACCTCGACCAATGACTTTCTCGTTGTCCATCGTCCGCCATCTTGGCCTATCTTCGGTAGCGTAAAGCACCGTTGTATTTAAGATTTAACAAGTAAACATTAAGGTGCATTCTTTAAACGTTGCCCCACACTAGGATTTTTCCTGTTTCCGTTTACAAACATACAATTTCACATACACATCACACCCAGATCCGGAACAACAATCTGTTGATCACACAAAGAGTTGTTCAAAGTATTTGAAAGTTTTAACTGTGTTTTGTGGGGGATTGAACGCGCGACACGTTGCGCTGCAGCTGTGCAGTCCAATATTTACCTGCTATAATTATAATTGTTAGACATGTTGCACTTTAAACATCATATTCTAACTAGTTTTAGAGAAAAAATAAAGATTTATTATTACATAACTGCACGGCGTTTTTTTTTTTTGTGAGCGGATAATCATCAAATTACTTCTCCCGCCCAGGGCCAGGCAGGAGGGAGTGTCAGACTCTTACTGACTAAAAACCCCCCTGTTTCTTCTCCTGCTCTGGGCCGAGGTCGCGGTGCCTCATTGCGCATACCCCGCAACCCCGGCTGAACATCAGCCCTATAGGGCCCCGTCTGTGGTGGTCTATAGGCTATTATACTGCACTACTAACGCGGTGACTGGGCAATCGGCTGCTATGCAACGTGTCTCGGGTCCAATCCCCCACAAAGCAATTCTTTGTGTGATCTACAAGTGGTTGCTTCGTGTTTGGGTGTGTATGTGAAATTGTACGTTTGTAAACGCACACAAAACACAGGAGAAAATCCAAGTATTTACTTCTGTGTGGGGCAACGTTTAAAAAATCCAATTACTTAATACTTATTAAAAAAATTCCTCGACTTTGTTAATGCACCAAGGGAGAAAATCCTAGTATTTACTTCTGTGTTACAACGTTTAAAAAAACAAATTAATAGTTATTAAAAAAAATATCTCAACTTTATTTTGTATTGAGAATATACTCACGTGATTTAACTTCGAAAGGTTTCAAGTCACAACGGGGCTCTTATCCATGAGCAGTGTGCGCGTCGTGAATCGCGTTTACTAACTAGTAAAGTTTTTCTGTTATTTCAAGTGAGTAATTCTTTATTTTTTATAAATTTTGTATGTGTCACGATATAATAATAATAAATTTTGTTTCCAAAAACTTTGTACTACTTTACAATTTTAATATGGCAACAGTATCATTAAAAGTAGAGAGGTTAGCATCTGTAACCGAACTAGGCATAGCCTATATTTTGGCTATCACCACCAACCACGACTCGACTGCACGGTTGCTGCGGTGGCTGGGCAACTGGCTGCCGGGCAACGTGTCCCCGCACGGAACAACTCTTTGTGTGATCCACAAATTGTTGTTCCGGGTCTGGCTGTCATGTGTATGTGAAATTGTATGTTTGTAACCGCACCCACGACACAGGAGAAAATCCTAATGTGGGGCAACGTTTAAAAAAAAAGACAAAAAAACCACAATAGTTACTATTCAGAAATAGTAGCTAACCTTCTGCCTGTCCTTCATGGATCCTCGTCCCAAGACCGCCATCTTGCACATTGTGTCTTCTTGTAACCTCTTCAGCGAGTTTCCCTTAGGGCCCAGCAGTTTGCCAACAAAGTTGAACTGTAACAAACATAAAGGTTTAATTACTTTAAGAATTTGAGTTTCTATATATTTAAGGGAGAATTAACAATAACGATTCAGTTTCTGGCAACCGATATTTATCAGCCACATGAAGGTAGCTGTTGGCTTTTTAAAACTAAATTCTTTCATAGAATAAACACAGTTCAGTACCAACTAAACCAACGATGTTTCTATTATGTAACCGGTAGTAATTTTCCTATGCCGCAATCTACTTTTGTAACATTAACTTTTATAAAAACCTTCTCCTGACAATAATGAATACAACAGAATAAGAATTGGCAAAATTGGTCCAGGTGTTTTTGAGTTATGCGCTTACCAACATTTTTATATTATAAAATACTAGCTACTCTCGCGCGGTTCCACCCGCTGCTCGGCTCCATTTAATCGTAGCACTCACGAACATTGTAGCTATCTATCAGAGAAAGAATTTTGGCAATCCGACCAGCCGTTCCAAAGATTTGATCCTTACATACAAACTTACAAACATACAAACTTACTTTCCTCTTTATAATATTAATATAGACATGCCACGACGCAATGAGCACGCCAAGGAACAGAGTATCATTAAAAGTATTCTCTCAACTATATATCTACTTAAATAATATTTCTTAGCTTTTTATTAACTTAGAAATAACTGGAAAACGAAATGGCGTCCATATTAATATTCTTTTGAAACGGAGAAAAGTTTCCGATTCTTTTCTACTTAAATGTAACATAAAACTTTGTAGTGACTCGGCAACATTTGTTGTACAATTTGTTGCTCTACAAGTTGGAGACTGGCATAAATATTTCTTTAAGATATGTCATTTTACTCGTGATATCTACTGAAGAGAAGGGAAAAGTAAAAAAAATGTGTTGATTACAATGGTAGTTTGATCGACAACAAATGACGATCAAAACATGCATGTTGCACTGAAATAATAAACAAGTACGCGTCGTGTTGCACGGAACAGTACTACGTTGCAATGTAGCTGAGCATAATGTATTTGAACGTATCAACTGCGTTCCGTTTCATGTTGCGTGTCGTTTGAGTATCAAAATATTGATGTAATATGCAATATGCGATACACTGTCAGATTCACTGGCGACTGGTGCGTGCAAAACCATACGAAGACAGACAACTTGGCGACCATAGTAAAAAATCTTGATTAGCTGGGTGACATGTTGCGCAACTTTTCGGCCAAAAATGTTGCCTGGTGTATACAAGGCTTAATTCTAACATAAAATTGTGTATATATATTTCTTCGATATTGCTATCTTTCTGTTTTTATTGAGATGGTAATGGAACTTCCTATTGGAAATAATAATAAATTCTTTACAAGTTTGAAATGATTGTATTTGGATGACACGTGTATTGCTGATTTTGATATTCTAGGTAATTTCGCACAGTTTTTACTGTTATCATCCTATAAGTATCCATAGATGTGCAGACCACTTCTCTTGGAGGAAAAGGTTTTTTTTATGGGATAAGTCGGTAAACGAGCAGACGCATTACCTGATGGTAAGCAACCGGCGCCGCCCATGGACACCCGCAACACCAAAGAAGTTACGAGTGCGTTGCTGGCCTTTTGGGGATAGGGGTTGCGGATATAAGGATTGGGAAGGGATAGGGGAGGGGGAGGGATTGGGCCTCCGGTAACCCCACTCACACGGCGAAACACAACGCTGTGGGTTGTTTCACGGTATTCTGTGAGGCCGTGGTATCACTCCGGTCGAGCCGACCCATTCGTGCCGAAGCTTGGCTCTCCCACACTTAAAGGTTTGAGCATTAGTGGACCCTTGCTCAAGGTGGATTGGCGAGTTCAAATTTGTAATTAGAAATTATAAGTCCAGGTGTCCTCAGACTATTTTCCCTCATCGCTTGTCAATGGTAGTCCTGGAGTTTTGAGATACAGGCCTAGGCTTAATTCAAACTCCAAATCTCCAACACATTTCAAAATGTCACCTTATTGTTTAATTCGTGTCAACTGTGTTTCCTAAAAAAATGTAATTTGTGGAGATGAAATAAATTAAATCGTTAATAATAATCTTAGAATGTACATAAAGCTCGGAAAAAATCACATTGGTACTACTTAGGTTTCGAACCCACATGAAAAACTGCTCTAGCCTTTGCGGATTGCCACTACATTCTAACATGCATCAACCCTCACAAATTTTCACACCACAGAGAATCGATATTATCACCTCGGGAATGTTTGCATGTTCCCTCAGTTACCTCCCTCCTCTTTTCCTCTTTTTGTTGAACTCTTGATGTGCACCGTCCGTGAGATTTTTGATTGTTGGCAAAATGAATCGCAAACACTCTTGAGGATAGGAACATAGGCTGCTGTGGAGGTGACTGTGTCCTTATATTTTAGTTTTTTCTTTTTGGATGAAATATATTTGTAAATTCGTGTACTTCATTGTATTGTTATTTTCACACTCAAAATCACTACATAGTATTTAAAAAAATTACAATTACAAATACGAAACTGATTCTGGCGCGGTTTCTTTTAAATAGATAGAGTGCTTGAAGAGAAAAATGTAACTAACATCCATTAAGTAGTGGAAGTTGACTACATAGTACTGAAAACTTTAGTGACAACAGCGCCCCCCATGCTGCCGGAGTTACATGCGCATCGCCGTATAGGCAATGCACATGTGTGAAGCCAGTCCTAGTAATATTATATTTAATGTTTAGTACAAGATTGAGTTATTGAGTGTCGTTTTCAGGAGTGCAGTAGAAGGTAGCATCCAAGAGCACATTTTTTTATGTGATAGATCGGCTAACGACGGATTAGTAAGCAATCAGCGCTGGCCATGGACACCCGCAACAACAGAAAGTGCCGACCTTTTGGTGATTAGGGATTTGGAGATTTAGGGATTGGGGGAGGGGAAGGATTGAGCCTTTAGTAACCCCACTCAAACGGTGAAGCACAACGCTGTGTTTGATTCACGATGTTTTTTGTGAGGCTGTGGTTATCACCCCGGTCGAGCCGACCCATTCGTGCTGAGCATGGCTCTCCTACACTTCATAATATTAATTTATTGATTTGATGTTATATTTTACTATCTTATTATTCCAGCTAATTTAAGAGAAATGAGTATCTTATTTGATGCAAAAAAAGCTCGCTATTTTATGGAAAATTCATAGAAATTTAAGTTTTTGACGTGACGAAAACGGGGTGGTTTAATTTGTGTAGTTGAAAATCGACCTTATTATCAATGTAAATCTATCTTATTATAAATCTAAAATCATCTAACCAAACCCAGTAATGGCTTTCAGATTTTCTTTAAATCCACATTAGAGATAAGATTGTAACAGAAATTCCATTTTCAATGAAAGTCAGAAACCGCATTTAGTCTGCGAGAGGTATAAATGAGAACCATTTATTTGTCCATCACTGAGTTCCGAGCAAGGAGGTTGCACTGTATAATTGTAACAGAAATTGAAACAAGATGAGCCACTAAGAGATGCCGTTTCTAAGATCTGCAGTACCTATGAATAATGTAAATAAATAGTTTTGTTCCGAGTTTGAATTTCATCCAAGAGAATTTCAAATTACACATATAAATATTTATTTAGATTTTTGAGCAAAGAGGGTCTTTTTACTGCCATACTTATTCAAACTAGATCTTACAAGAGAAATTGGAGTTACCGGACGCTTAAACTTTCCTGAACCTAATTCCCTATTATTCAAATCCAGCCGGGCCTGAAAGTGGTTCTGATTGCTTACCATCAAGGCATCAGGCGAACGTAAAGCAATATTTCATCGTATGAATGAGGTTAGCGTAATCGCCCCCCCCCCCCCCCTCTCTTAAGGTCAAAGCACTTGCAACTCCACTGTCGTAGTGGATGTATGTAGGTAGCACCAATTACTTACCATCAGGTCGAATCCTCGAAGCTTATCTACCAAATCTCAAGAAAAAAGGTAAAACAAAAAAAAAACAATAATCCTCTCCATTCTCCCCTATTCCCTGACCATAGCGGAACAGTCACCAATTGTTGACCAACCAGTATAAAAAGACATACTAACTAGTCCAGTTTGTACTGCTAGATCGATCAATTAATTGTTCACAAGTTTTCTAGCGACCTTAATTGGATAGGGCCTTAGCGTGTCTAGTAATTGGTTTGGGAAAGCTAAACTGAATGGTTGTGACGTCATTTTATTGCACCTGCAGTTCTGTAACGTGATTGGTTGGCGAAATATTTGAAAATGGAAGTCAATGCGGTCTTTTATTTTTGTTGGCACTTATTATTAATTGATTTTGTTCGATTGTTGTGCCCACTGCTGTGTCTTTTCTTACACGGACGTTCCAGCATTAACCACCTTGCTTGCTCAAGGCGGATGGGCGATTTCAAACTTATACTAAGAAATTATAAGTCCAGATTTCCTCACAAGATTTTTCTATTCAATGTGTATTTCACTGGTGTATAAGTAATCATAGAAAGTACATATATATGTATAACTCGGATAAAGTCCCATTGCTACTTGCCCGGTTTTGCGCCCTCATGCATGAGATGCGAACACATGAACCTTAGAAGCACCACGACCGGAGATCCAGATTAGATACTTCTGAAAATAGGTCTAACAACCCTAAGAGACCATGTATCTTTGTTTGTTTATTTTTATTCTGTTCTCCATTAACTTAGTAAACATTAAGTACAGTAGACCAACAGGGATCCTCGATAATGGTGCAAATTGTTCAACAAACAACGATCACTTCTAATAGTATTTACTGAGCTGCTAATTATAGGAGTAATTAGAACTACTGGGACATAACACGTTACTGTGGTGTTTTTGTACATCTTTGTGTGCATTCGAGTATATTTCGAGTGCTTTGACCAACTTTAGAAAATTAGAAGGTGTATCCATTCAACTGACTGTATTTAATACAAACTAATATTATAAATGCGAAAGTAACTCAGTCTGTCTGTCTTTTCTCACTCCATTTCTGTGAAATTTGGTACAGACATAGTTTGGAACTCGAGAAAGGAC